TGATGATGATGATGATGATGATGATAATGATCGGGATGTTGATGGTGATGGCGCTGATGATGGTGATGGTGATGATGCTGATGAGGCTGATGCTGAGGATGAGGATAAAAATGATAATGTTGATGATGCTGATGATGATGATGATGCTGATGTTGATGCTGATGATGATGGTTATGATGATGATGATGATGATGATGATGATGATGATGATGATGATGATGATGATGATGATGATGATGATGATGATGATGATGCTGATGGTGACGACGATGATGATGATGCTGATGATGATGATGATGATGATGATGATGATGATGATGCTAATGATGGTGATGATGATGATGATAACGATGCTGCTGCTGATGATGATGACAAGGAGGATGAGCAGGAGGAGGAGGAGGAGGAGGAGGTGGAGGCGGATGAAGAAGAGGATGAGGAGGAGGGAATGAGGGAAGGCAGTAGCGATGGAGGCAGAGATGAGATAATAGAGGCGGAGGGAAAGAGGGACAGCGGCGAGAATGGGAGGGAGGATGGGAGAAGGAATGGTACGGATGCAAGAGGTCGACGCCAGACACACTGTATATGCATAATCCGTAAGGGCTTCGCCCCATGCCGCCGGCTCCCTGTCTCGGATAATGGGAGATGCAACAGGTAAATCATGAGGTCTGGGCGCCGCCGTGAAGCAGTGTCGGGACCTGCGTCACGGGTGCCACCGAATGTCAGAAATGTGGCAAATCCCCTGTGTTTTTAGACCCTGACCCTACGGATCTGCGTGAGGTGGTGCCGCCCAATTTCAGAAATGTGGCAAATCCCCTGTGTTCTTGGACCCTGACCCTGCCGATCTGCGTGAGGGGTGGGTGTCGCCGAATTTTAGAAATGTAGCACATCCGTTGTGTTTTTGGACCCTGACCCCGCCGATCTGCAGGAGGGGTGCCGCCGAATGTCAGAAATGTGGCAAATCCTTTGTGTTTTTGGACCCTGAGCCCGCCGATCTGCGCGAGGGGTGCCGCCGAATGTCAGAAATGTGGCAAATCCTTTTTGTGTTTTTGGATCCTGACCCCGCCGATCTGCGTGAGGGGTGCCACCTAATTTCAGAAATGTGGCACATCCCGTGTGTTTTTGGACCCTGACCCTGCCGATCTGCGTGAGGGGTGTAAGTTTTCCCCCGCTCCAGCAATTCAGACAATACGATTCGGGCGTGGTAAAAGTGCTTGTTTTGGGCCTCCCCCCCTCGCGCCGTCCATCAACAAGGAAAAGTAAGCAGCAAGCAGCAGACAGTGAGCAGCAAGAAGCAGAACTGTGGAAGCTGCAACTGGTACAGGAAACTGCGAACCTTCGCCCTACAGCCTGGTGGCCCCACAAGGGGGCCGGTGCATCATGTGACGCATGATCTGGCAACGATGGTAACCTTACGTGTGGTCCGCCCTTCCCGCCCGCCCGCGTGAGCCAAATTTACTGTCAATGCCAAGGTTTCGCTGCAAACCGACAGCGAGCGTCGCACGCACCGGCTGGACTAGATGTGTGTGTGTGTGTGTTTTCTGAATTTGAAACACGTGCACTACCAGCGGCGGGCTGTGTCTCAGTCCCAGGACTTTTGGAGGGTCGGGGACGACGTCGGGGTGGTGTGGTGTATACTTTTTCCCTTGTTTCTCCGGGGAAGCAACGAACAATGTATGCACCAGGATCTGGTATACACCAGGATCTGCTTTCCTGTGCAAGTGTCAGTGCGGGGCCGGAAAAAGCATCGGTGTATAGAGTTCTGTTCCCTATGTTTCGAGTGAGACGCATCGAACGCCCTTAGTTCAGACCACTCGGAAGTTTTTTTTTGAGAATATATCGGGCTGGCGAGCAGGCGAGGGGAGCTGTGGTTGGCTTCTGCTGCACGCTGGCGACTGGCGGCGCTGATCGCGCGCTGCACGTCGCCACGCTCTCGTAGCCTCGCCTCTGGAGCCTCTGTGCCAGGAGGGTCAGGATTGGCTCCTCGTGGGCAGTTTTGTCTGGCTTGCACCGCATGGTTGTTCGAGGGACCTCGGAGCACCTCTGCGGTGGAACACGCACTGTTCCAGGGCACAGTGAAACCGCATAGTGAGGATGAGCAAGTTTCCAAAGTTACCCTTGCATCGTTCCCCTTCGGCCCAATCCTTGGCCGCTTCCACTGGCCGCGCCCCGCTCGCAAAGTGTCGGCATGGCCTTCCGAGGCCCTTGCATCCTTATCGTGCGTCTTTGTCATGCGGGTTGACTGTACGTGCGAGTGCTTGTTCGACGACCACTCGTGCGAGGGACGGGGGCGGGGAGCGGCAGGCGCTGGCCCGGCTTGGCGCCAGCTCCCGCGGCGCTCGAGGGCGGGCGCTCTGCCAGGAGGTGGCCATGGCCCGTGGTGCTCCCAGCTGTCTGCGCCTCCTCCTCCTCCTCCTCCTCCTCCTCCTAGTGAGAAGGCAGGGCTGTTGCACAACCAAATCGCAGGGGATTTTGCAGACGCGCGCAAGGCACCAGTCTAGGTGTGTTGACGTTGACCCCCTTATGCGGATGTCCTGTCCTGTCCTCTTCCTCCTGCGCTGCCGGAGGTGGTCCTGGCCCGTGGTGCTGCCAGTCTGCGCCTGCTTGAGGCCCTGGAGCCCTCTGGCGGCGGTTCTCGTGCAGGGGGTGCTCTGGGTGCCACCTGAGCGACGCAAAAAAGGGGGGTCGTCTGTGCCGACAATAGCGCGTAGGCTGCTGGGGTAAGGTCGCGCGTCTGCGCCCTCGTTTCCAATGCAGCGTGCCGCGCTGGCGGCCCGCGTAGGCTGTTGCGTAAGGTCGCTGTGTCATCTCGCGTAAGACCCCATTTGGATCGTCGCTCACCTGGGCCTCCATGGGGATAGGCTCTGAGGGCAACCGTAGGGGGAACAGGCTCGGGGGATAACGCATCAGCGACCCCCAGTTGCCACCTCATCGCTGATGGGGGCTCGATAGACCACCCCGCCCAGGAGAGTGTGATTCTACCACAAGGGCCTGTCTCCGATCCATCGACGAAGCATCGCCGACTCCAGGCCGGTGTTCCCCCCCCCCTTGAGAGCCAGCCCCCCTCTAACGTTCCCTCTCATCTGTCGGCCACGCCCGAGAGCAAGGGCATCGGGAGGCCTGGCCAGCCTCGGTGCCGGCCCCTTCGGGTACAGTCCACCCGCATGGTAATTAAGGATGGGGACGTTTCCTCGGTCCATCCCTCGCCAATTCCGTTGGCCGCGCCCCGCTCGAGAAGCTTCGACATGGGCAGCCAAGGCCCATGCATCCTTATCGCGCATCCTTCTGATACGGGCCGGCTGTAGGGATGCCGAAGTGCCACGCGGCGGCCGCCGAGGCCTCGGCGGCGCTTCGCGCAGCTCGGCGGAGGCCCGGTCTCCCGCAGCCGTGGCCTCCGCCGCCGTGGCCGTGGCCGCGGCGTTGGCCGTCGCCGCCACCGCTTTTTGGGGCAACGCTGCGGCAGTCGTCGTCGCCGCAAGTGCCGTCGCTGTCGCAGCCGCCGTCGCTGTGGCCGCCATTGCCGATGCTTTCGCCGTCGCAGTCGCCGTCGCCACCGTCGGCGTCGTCATCGTCGTTGTCGTTGTCGTCGTCGTCGTCGACGTCGTCGTCGTCGTCGTTCTCCTCCTCCTCCTCCTCCTCCTCCTCCTGTTTTCAGAAGCGAAAGATGGACGTACATGTACATGAATCCACGCTGGTTTCGAGAGTGCGAATTGCGCAATTGTCCGTATCACGCGGCCAGTCTCGCGGATCGAGGGGCCGTGTTCATGTGCATCGCTGGGCGCGTACGTCCTTTGTGGGCTCCCTATGTTTCTCCTCCCGTTCCTCCTCCTCGGCCATCCCTGCCCGCCTTCCTTCTTTCCCTCTCCTGCTACGCCTCCCTGCCTGCCTCATGCTGTCAGCAGAGGCATCCAACAGGAGAGCTTCTAGGAGGGAGGGGCAGTGATGAGGTGAGTGGTGAAGTGATGTGTAATGGCCTGGTCTTGTCCAGGGGGTCGGGTCTCAAAGTTCTGCACTTCTGGTTTGTCCACAGCTCTCCACACCATTTCTGGTTGCACCTTGCCAAGCCGTAGGTGGGCAGGATTCGTCCGCCTTCAATATGTTGCCCCCATGGCGGTGTCGTGATAAGTGGGGCCCGTGTGGGCTCAACAGGTGTGAGTGGGTTGCTCAATAAGACAACGCCCTGCCAGCCTCTTCGTAGTCGCAGGGGGATTTCCTGGCAATTCTTGGTTGGATCTCTGTTCTCTGTCCAGTTCCTGGTCAAGCCGCCGATTCGAGTAAGGGCGCATTTGTCACCCGAATTCAAAGCTAACTCGAAGTTAAGTTCAACCTCATTTCTCGTTTTTCCCTCATCCCGTGTTGGTCATTCCACCTCCCTCCTCGTGGAGGGAGGATGTGGAGGAGGAGGATGAGGAGGAGCAGGACGTGGAGGCGGATCAGACGAAGGGACAGTAGGGTGATGGTGATGTGACTGATCATGGTGGCTATGATGATGGTGGTGATATTGATATTGATGATGGTCAAAGTGACGATGCCGGTGATGGCGATGATTGGTTGTAGTGGTGATGCTGGTGCGTATGACGATAAAGGTTGCCGGTATGATCATGGCGATTATGAGTTTATGGATGGGGAAGAGCATGACGATAAGGAAGTGGTGACGAGGTGACAGTCGCGATGACGACAACGTTGATGATCACGATGAGTATGATTGAAATTATGATGAGAACGATGACGATGTTCACGACACCGGCAATGATTCGGTTTATGAGTACGACGGTGTCAGTGTCGGGAATGCTGCTGTTGATGATGGCGAAAATGCTGATTACCGTGCTGGTTATCATTCTAGCTTCTGTATACTGTGACGATGGTGAAGATGAGATTTATGCTGCTGTTCTTGATATTGATGCTGATGCGGTTGACGACGATGATGCTGATGACGATGTGGATGATGATGACGATGATGACGATGACGACGATGATGACGATGATGATGATGACGATGCTGATGATGACGATGATGAAACTGATGATACTGGTGCCGATGATCAAGCTGATGATGATGATGACTTTCACTATGTTGATGCTAATGATCATGATGAGGATGATGCTGATGACGCTGATGATGGCAATGATGATGATGCTGACGACGACGATGATGCTGATGATGACGATGATGACGGTGACGATGATGATGGTGATCATGATGATGCTGATTGTGGTGATGATGATGTTGATGGTAAGGATTATGATGATGTTGCTGTTGATGATGCTGATGCTGATGATGATGCTGATGGTGCTGATGATGATAATGATAAGGATGATGATGTTGATGATGCTGCTGATGCTGGTGACGCTGATGATGGTAATGATAATGATACTGATGATGATGATGATGTTGATGATGATACTGACGACGATGATACTGATGATGATGCTGATGATGATAACGATAATGATGATGATGATGATGATGATGATGATGATGATGATGCTGATGCTGATACTGATGCTGACGATTATGCTGATGATGCTGATGATGATGCTGATGACGCTGATGATGGCACTGATGATGATGATGATGACGATTATGCTGATGATGATGATGATGATGATGGTGGTGGTGATGATGATGATGATGATGATGCTGACGACGATGATGATGATGATGATGATGATGATGATTATGATGATGATGATGATGATGATATGCTGGATGATGATGATGATGATGATGATGATGATGATGATGATGATGATGATGATGATGATGATGATGATGATGGATGATGATGATGATGATGATGATGATGATGATGATGATGATGATGATGATGATGATGATGATGATGATGATGATGATGATGATGATGATGCTGATGATGATGCTGATGATGATGATGATGATGATGATGATGATGATGATGATGGTGGTGGTAATGCACATGTAATTATTGATGATAATGTTGACGACGATGAGGTGGATGACTCTAGCATGAATGCGTTGATGGTGATGGCGAGGATGCCTATTTCCATGAGGAGCAGGATTAAAAGACGGCGGATAAGAATAATGGTCAGATCTAGGGCCATCTAACTAGATCTGGCATCAGTACCTTAAACGCGCTGTTGCTCGATCCCGCTGAGCTCTTTTTTGGGGGGGGGGAGGGGGAGGGTGGGGGGGTGTGATGGGTGATGGAATTTAAGACGCACCCTGCATTTCGGGAGTGAATGGAGACGTCGAAGACAGCTTCTTCGACGGTACGAGGGTTTATCAGAGTGAGGGGGCCGAACGGTCATTCATTGTCCTTGGGCACGTGGCTGAAATGGAGATCCATTGTAAGGATTATGCTTGTTGCGTTGCTGCTCTTGTTTGTGTTGTTTTTGTTTGTTTGTGTTGTTGTTGCTGCTGCTGCTGCTGCTTGCTGTCGTCGTCCCCCCTGCGACCCGCCCGCGACCCACCCGCGACCCACCCCGCGACCCACCCCGCGACCCACCCCGCGACCCACCCCGCGACCCACCCGCGACCAACCCGCGACCCACCCCGTGACCCGCCCGCGACCCATCCGCGACCCATGCGCGACCCACCCGCGACCCACCCCGCGACCCAGCCCGCGTCACAGCCGCGACCCACCCCCGACCCACCCCGCGACCCTCCCGCGACCCACCCGCGACCCACCCGCGACCCGGCCCGCGACCCACCCGCGACCCACCCGCGACCCACCCGCAACCCACCCCGCGATCCACCTATATTGTTTTAACGAAGCAATCGGCGCCTGCGGCGGGCTCACCGCATAACTTGTAAAAGTTAGGCGCCTGCGGCGGGCTTCTTCAGAGCCTCGCAGACCGACGACGTCCTCGCCGCCCGCTCACTCTTATCCGCAACTGTGGGGTGCTACGTAAGAACATTGTTCTTCCTTCATAGGCCCCCCACCGCTTCTGCCCTGTGCCCCTTCCGTCCCTTCCTTGTGCGCTCCGCCAGAAGGTCGATATGCGCTCTCGATGTGTGGGGTAGGCCGGGGGGGATGGGGTAGGTGGGGAGGGTGTGCGTGACGGAGGAAGGACGGAGGACCCGCTAGGTGCCCCCAGAGTCTGCTAGAACACCTCACGCCCCCTTGAGCACAGCCGAATCCCTTCTCCCCTCTCTCTCCCCCTTGGCCCTTCCCTCCTCTCTCCTCACTTTTCCTCATGACGGGGGAGGTCCGCTAGAGCCCCCTGGAATCCGCCTGAAGACACCGCACCGCGTCCCTTGAGACCGTGCTCGTTTTTTGTTTCCATTGTCCTCCTGTTTGATGCAGCATTTGGGGTGTTTCAGATGGCGCTAAGGCGGCCCAATGAACACATAAGGCTCCATAGACGTATTACCAGGGGTGGGACAGTGCCCACATGCAGCCGAAGATGGCCTTGCGCCAAAGAGAGTGTCAATATTGGTAAAGAGATCCCCGAACTGGCACCAACGCGTGCCGATACGGCCCAGCAGGGCTCATCACGAGCCAAGAGAGGTTAGCCTGA